CCTGCAGTGCCAGCCGATCCTGCCCAGGGTGAGGACAGCTGCATCCACGGGGAAGTCGCAGTGCACCCAGGGCGCCGCTGCTGACGCCTGCCGCGAAGCTGCAGCCTCGAGCGCACCCCTGAGCATCGGCGGGGAGAGCTCGCCCGAGTGCAATCGCCCTGCAAGAATCTGGAGCGTGCTGTCCGTGATCGGCACGAGCGGGTCCAGGCCGCGGCCCCTGCGGAGCTCCGCGCGCCGCAGCCTGAGGCCGAGGGCCGCGCCGCGGGGGAGCCGCCCCGCGCAGGGGCACGCGGTGACTCGCCCACCGCGCAACTCTCCGTCGGCCACGCCAGTAACCGTCCGCCCCCACATCACACTGGAAGTAGGCCCAGCCTTGTGGGTCAGGTCCTCGGCGATCATGCAGTGCTTGAAGTCCCCTGGCACTCGCCACTGGGCTACCCGCGCCTGAAGGTCCTCACGGACAAGTACTCCGACGCCTCCTGAATGGGCAGGGGCGGCCTGTCCAGTGGGCGCTGCAGCATGCAAGAAGGCCGCGTAGCTCAAGCCGCGAACTCGGCGGCGAGCATTCCCCAGCTGGCGGGGCCCAAGGGGGACCTCCTGGACCGTGACGAGGTGCGGGCGCGCGCCCCCCCGCTCGATGTAGGCCTCGAGCACCTCCATGGCACGGTCCCATGTGTTGCCGTAGAGGTCCAGCACGTCGAAGCCTGCACGGAGCTGCTCGGCAGCCCTCTCACAAGCTGGCACAGCCCCGCCCACTCTCGCCTCAAGGGCGGTTGGCGTGAACCCCGCAGAGGCTCCGCGACTCCCATGGGGCGGGGCAGACGGCTGCGACGTCGGAGGGCTGAATCCTCCCGCCGTCTGCCCGCGCGAGGCCGTCGGGGGGGCGCCTCGGCGGTCCCGACCGCACCTCGGCCCAGGAGCGAGGCCGCCTTGCCGCCGTGGCTCTCCTCGCGTCTGGTGCAGGGTCGGCCAGTCTGACGGCGGCGGCGGTGGCGCGGGTCCCCAGGCTGTCGCTGCAGCTGAGCAGCTAGGAGCGACGAGGGCCCATAGGAGCGTAGCCCCCAGCAGTTGCCAGGGTAGCCAAGGCCTGGCCGTCCTCGTGCTCGTCCCTGGCATCCTCAAGGATCCTGCGCTCGGCCTGGCCAGGCCGGGGCCAAGCGCCGAGCGCCGCGCCTGGCTGCCCGCGGGCAGCGGCTGGCCCGTGGGGCCCCGCTGCTGGGCTCGCCCGCTGGGTGGGCGGGCCTGGCCGCACCTGCTGCCCTGCGGCCTCCGCTGGCGGCCGCGGCACCGCGGGGGCAGAGGCCCCAGCGGCTGGGGCGGGGGGGCCTTCCTCGTCGTCGACGGCGAGCCCGTCCCCGCCAAGGCCGTCGGCCCAGCGCGAGGCAGCGGCAGCAGGCGCAGCGGGGTGGAGCATGTCCGAGATGGCGGCGCTCTGCGTGGTGATGATGTCCATGATCTCCAGGAGCCTGGGCGCGACGCCATCCGAGTTGCGGCAGAGCATCTCGCCCAGCTGGTTGACCTGGGTGACGAGGCCCCCGGCCGCGGTCTCCAGGGGCCGCTGGCCTCCGCGCACCTCAATGGCCCGCTGGAGCGCCTGCTGGACTGTCTGAGCCTTCGACTCCTCGAGCTTGCCGAGCTGGCTGTCGAAGTCCTCGACCGCGGACTCGGCCTCGGCCAGCTCTTCTTGCGTCGCCGCAATCTTCCCCCTGAGGGACTCAGCCCGCTGCACGGCCTGCTCGCGCTTGGCTCTGGTTGCAGTGATCTGCTTCTCGACCTTCTGCATGGCGTTGGCACCTCCGTGGAGGACGGCGTGGGGGGGCCTCCCGAGCCGCTGGGCCTCGCGGAGCTCGGCCTCGGCCCTCTCGGCCGAAACCTCCGCTGCGAGGAGGGCCGCCCTGGCCTCTCGCTGGAAGGCCTCGCTGGCCCCCTCCATGGCGACCGCCTCACGGAGGCTGGAGATGCGAGCCTGGGCTTCCTCGAGCCTGCGCTCCAGACTCGACGCGGGCTCCTCTGGTTGCTCCTCGCGCTCCTCACGCCAAGGCGGCGGCTTGGCTCCGCCCCGCGGCCGCCCCCTGCTGTTGGGCGCGCTGCTCGGCACGGTGCTGGCGGCCGAGGCTGTCCTGGAGGCGTCACCAGCTCGGCGCGCCGCACGCTGGTGCGAACGCCCCCTGGGCTGCTGGACGAAGCCCTCCCCGTCGGCCTGGGGCTGGTGCACCGCGCGCAGGCGCTTCGCCCACGCTGGCGCCTCCTTCCCGCGCGACTTGCAGGTCGCCCTCTTGTCACACCAGTTCCACTCCTTGCACTGGCAGACCCAGTACACCCTGCGCCTCCAGGTTGGCGGCGCTCCAGTTCCGTCGCCCGACATGGCTGCTGGCCCCGCGCGCTCCGCCTGGCCACGCTGCATCGAAAAAACGAAGCGAGAAGCTGGCCCAGGGCGCGGCGTCCCTCGCGCTCGACTGCGCCCGAAGGACTCGCGGTCGTCGGGATCGCCATGGCCTTG